TGCTTTGCCTAAAGTAGTCCTTCAACCAGGTATTGTGTAGGATATTTTTTTAATTCAGCACACTCATCTATTTTAGCTCCTTGGTGGATTAAGTTCAGCTGTACATTGGTATGTTGTTGTTTTTCATTTGTGCTGCAGTACTGTTTGTAGGCTCAAGTAAGATGGAGGCCTTTTTTATAAGAGATGCTGTACAAATGCATTGTAAAAGACAATTCAAGCCCTTAAGAGTTCATAGCCCTAATAGACAGCAAATGAAAGCTAGCAAGGGAAACAATGGCAAGGAGGTTTGAAGCAGCTTTCCAGGGTCACACAGCAGAGGATCAGTGGGTGTAGGCATGGGAATAAGACAAGTGGCCTGTCCATGAAACCGTAATGACTTCTTTACTAAACAGATTAGATCTAAAGTATGTTCACAATTCTGTAATACTGATGTTGTCTGTTCTTGCAGAGTCTTAAACTGAGGTTATTAAAGACTATTTTGCAGGCAGCAATGGAACTGCTCTGGCAATCTTGTTGAAACAAGCAGGATAGTAAGAAGCATAGCATGGGACTATTAGCTTCTTTTGCTTTCCTGAGTGTGAGGGAACTCATACGCTGTTATTCATGTTGGGTTCACCGTTCAGGAGGCATAAATCAGCATAGCACTATTGATTATTATATTTTTCTGAGAATTGTTCTCATATATTAGTTGTGAATCTTGCTGTTGTACTGATTTCAGTACTATAATTTTTAGCATTTATAATATATTTTAGTATGCATCTTTATATATGCTAGATGTTTATCAGTATCTTTGATTTGTCAATGATATTTTATCTTATTAGGTCTTAAACACCAGCTATTAGATGAACTTCAGACTTTCTTCCGGTGCCTCCATCCTCTTCCATATTTTCAACATAATTTAACAAAAGCTTTGTGTACTTTTATACCTGACCTGTTGGGGTCTGGAAGTCCATTCCATCCCCAATTTTTTGCATAGCCCAACATCAACATATATTCCACAGTTTCAGACATAGATGGAAAATTTACCATAAATGAAGAACTGAAATGTAGCCCCACTGTCTTTCACAATCAATTAGAGCAGCCCCTCAGAAGACCCCTGGGAGTTTGAAAATCATGTTTTCAGAATTTGTACAAATTTAGTTTTCTGTTAAACTAGTACCTTTTAAATGGGCAGTCTGAGTATTGACTTTATTGATAAATGATGACAGGGTGGTTAATGTAAAAAATATGAAGGTTTAGAATAAATGAGGGGTCAATAACTTTCCTTTTGATATCACCATAAGTAGATTTCACCAGAGATGTAACAGATTCCATGCTTTTTCCCAGCTAATATAGCAGTTTCACGTGGTTTTCCCCTCTGGAATATTATTCAACCTGGACTATAATATTCAGTAGCCAGCAACTCCACTTGGAGATCAGTTGCTTTTTTTTTTTTTTAAAGCAGAAAGATTTTATCAAAAAGAATGTCCAAAGCAGTTTTATGTAAATGACAGATCTGTAATTAATTGCAGCATTTGCAAGCAATGTTTTGTACAAGGAATATTGAATATTCAATACTATTTAATTGTTTATTTAAAATAGTTTAATGAGCTTTGCAAAGGCAGGAAAACACTGAAAAATGCAAACTAGAATGATAAAAATCCTTTGATTATATTTTCTTAGTAGCTGTCAACAGTGTGAATAATATGCTACATGAGGTTGTCTTTTTCAATATTAGTGGTGACACAGCTTTTCTGAAAACTGCCCTCCTGCTAGTAGTAAGGGGCCAATACCTCTCTAAAACAGCAGTGGTGCTGGAAGAGGTAGACACATTTATCATGATGGCTGATTATATGGCGTAGAATACATCTATTTAAATGTGCATGAGAGAGGCCACCTATTGGGGGAGAGAAAAAACATCCTTAGACTTTTTGAGCCTCCTAATCAAGATGATGACTACATAATGCTGAGCAGGTACTTAAGAGAACTATATTCTTCAGCTTTTGTGTATAGACTATTTTAGCCAGACGGTAGCAACTATATCTTTTTGGTTCTGTCCCCTGATTAATCCTGCTATTGTTATCCAGAGTAAGAAATTTCTTACTAAACACTGCTTTCTTGAGTATTCATGTGCATAGATTGTAAAGAGAGAAAAAGAAAGCAAAAGTAATAATAATTCTGGGAGTGGAATTTTAAACCTCACTCAAAGCAAGAATTAACATTGTCTACTGCATAATAGAAAAGAATTTTTGAAGCTGATAAAGAGTAAGATCCTAGAACAACAAAAAGGTAAACCCACAGCAGAGAAAACGTTTAACTCCTATCTCCCCACTTATAAAAGATATTTCCCCATTTGCTTTGCAATTCTGTGTATGCTGGGTTTTTTTGATTCAATATGTAAGCTGGGATGAACTCATGTTGCTTGTGACCTCAAATTGGTAGTTTCCCCTTTTTCTGCACTAGTTTTCTTTCTAAAAGGGAACCATAATGTGCACTTGTCTTTAACCAAAAAGTATGTAATTAAATACAAGATAATCTGTCAAGCAAATACAGATCTTTCATGGGGGAGGGGGGGCGGAAAGAAAAAGGAATAGCAGTTGACTAAATCCCATGGTTAGCAACAGCAAGCTCTTTAAAGGCAGCTGTAAGGAAGCTGTGCATTATTTCTGAAATAGAATAGTTTGTGGTTGGTTTTTATTTGTTTTCCTGGTTGTGTTTTCTCTTTTTTTTTCTTTTGTTGTTGTTGTTTTGTTTTTATTTTGTATTTTTGTTTTTTTTTTCTACCTCAAAGGAGTAGTTCTCCCACCTCCCATTGATTCCTTATATCCAAGGGCTATTTGAAGTAAATAGTGTTAGAATATTCCAGATCAAACATCTTGCTAAATAGCTCTCTTTCTCAAAAGGTCTTTCATGAAACGTTATGAAAGTGGAATTGCACAGCAGTTGTTAATCAGGGTAGCCGATAAATAAATATTCAGCTAAGGGGAGGATTCTTTCAGTGAAGTAGGCAGCAGGTGACTGATTCTTAGAGAGAGTAAGGAGTGAAGTTATACTGGTGATATGGAACAAAGCAAATCCTCTGTAACAAGCCCTAATTAATTATTTTTGTACAGCATAACATGGCATGGTGGGGAAAAAATAAAAAAAAGGGAATGTGAAGTGAAAAGAAAAAGAGGAATTTGCTCAGCCAAGGCACCTATTTCTTCTAAAGAGATAATGCCAAAGCCAATTTAGATCTCCTGGTTTTGATTTGTTAACAGGAAAGTTTTACAGGTCCAGGCTGCTGGTTTTTACTTGTTTTTATCTTCCAATACAAAGCACATTAATGCTAAGATTAAAATCAAAGCAAAATATAAAATTATTTTTCTTTAAACTACGTAAGAAAACCCTTTAATTACAAATTCATTTAAATCTGAGACTAAATGTAAACTTTTTCCTACTGAGGGTAGGAAAAAGCTGTTTAATTTTACTCCTTCCTACTATCCACTACAGTCTTGTTCTAGGAAGCCATTTTCCATCTCTTTGTCTGTATCACAAGGTGTTACTGATCCTTACTCCGAAAAAATTTCTGAACAGACACTGGACTACAGTTCTGTGAAGTGAGTTGCAGGCAGATGCACACTGACAACCCCTTCTTTGTTATTTTGGATCAAAGAAGAAACAGGAGTAAGTTGGGACATACAGCTGAAGAGTAAGAAATGGAATCTTGGACAGGAGTGGAAGACACAGTGCAGTATGGGAGCTTATGGTCTGTACCTAGACTGCCCTGTGCCATTTGAATGATGCACAAGAGCATTCTGAACAGTCAGGTGTGGGATTCATTTTAGATATTCTGAACAGCAAAAGTATCTTCTGAAAAAGGTGCACTCTTACACATATCTTAAGAAAACAGTTTTGCAGTCTTTTTTTTTTTTTTTATTTGTGCAAGGTTTCTTTAAGAAGTCAGATTTCCAGCTGCTGATCAGCTGCTAGCCTTCATAACTTCCTTTATTATGTTATTCACAAACTTCTTCTGCAGCATTTGTTCTCTCTCAAAATATTAAATTCTACAATAGGAAACCAAAACCTCTGTCTCTCTTCTCCATCACTGTGTGATCTGTTCCCTGCATTTAGTTTCTAAAAATTGCTGCTACTATATATATATATATATATATATTTGTTTATTTATTTTTTTATTTTTTTTTCTGAGAGGGACGCAGACTCCAAGGCTGCATAAATGACATATAGGTAGTTCAAACAAAGATTGTACTGACAATCTCCAGGTAGTTTTGAGTGCAACATTGAATAAACTTATAGATCGTAGAATCATATAATAGGGTGTGAAAGGACCTTAAGATCATCTAGTTCCAACCCCCCTGCCATGGGCAGGGATGCCTCGCACTAGACCATGTTGCCCAAGACTCTGTCCAACCTGTCCTATTAGGGATGGAGCATTTACCACTTCTATGGGCAACCTGTTCCAGTACTGAAGAATCATGATAGCTGAATGAGGAAAACGAGTTGCATTGCTTGTACATCTGAAAAATGAGGAGAAAGAGTTTGTTCCCTGAATTACTAAATAGAAACATGGCTACAAGTTCTGAAAGGATAAGGTGGTTTCCAGTATTGGCACAGACTCCTATTTGGTTGTATCTGGAAATGATGTCATGTACTGACCTGCTAGATTGCGTATGCTTGGGCACAATTCTAAAAATTCTGGTACTGTTTCACATTGATTTATTAGATCTGCACATTATATGGAGAGTTTATCTCAGAAAAGATTTTAAAGCTTGGCTTTGTTACACATCAGAATCTCTTCCTTCCTTTAACTCTAAAATACAATTTTTATGGTACTTGAAAAATTTCAAGTGGTTACAGAATAGCTTATTTTTATTTTATTTTATTTTTTAATATGAACTACCCTAGTGTAAAGCAGTCATTCTTGAATTAGCATACAAAGTAACCTTTCTAAGCAGGATTATACTGAATAGTTTAAGCTTTTATTAACCTTTGACTTTTTTCTATACCTTCTCTCACCCCAGGATGCCTTTGAGATAATGGCTGAGAATTATGAGTTCAAAGAAAATGAAATATTCTGCCTGGAATTTCTGAGGGCAGCTTCTGTGTTAAAATTTCTCCCATTTCCAGTAATCAGAATGAAAGATATACAAGGGCTGCCCTGCATGGGAGACAGAGTCAGAGATGTCATTGAGGTAACGTACCTCTGAATTATCTGTGAATTGATTCTTTTACAGATCTAGTTTTAGAGGTCACAGAGTGCAGCACTGATATCTGAGTGTATTTACGCAACCTTCTGTGTTTCCTGTAATAACATTATAGTATCTGTGTAACTGAGAACTCAGTGATTTCTGGAAACCTTTTGTAGTAACATAAGGTTCTGTCATGGAACCCCTGCCCTTAGGAATAAAGATAACTATTGAATAAATACAAATTAATAAATAATGCAGTACCATCTTGGTATGTCATTTGTAAAGGCTTACACTTATTTGGATGCGTCAGGTTAACTGTTAGTAGTTTTATTCATATGACTTCTCCCACTGGCAACATCATTTTGCTCACCTGAATGCTTTATTAGAAATACTATTTTTGAAAAACTGGTAAATATTTTAGTACTTTAATGTTAAATCCTACGTTGCTGTGAGTTATAAGCAGAGCCTTTATCTAGGTGATGGATGAACTTTTACATTCTTACTGGAGCTTTAAGTTTTCCCTGTAATTTTCTTTAGCCTTTTCAGATCCCACACCACACTTCTGTTATTCCAGCAGGCAGCTGATCAGGGGATCTCAGCTGTCTGGAGAGGTCATTGCTGAGTGTTATGATTCACTCTGGCTCCTTGTTTGCCTCACGCCACCAGAGCTTCTGAAGTGCTTTTTGTACCTACCACCTGGGGACTGGGAATTCAATTATGATGCCACAGAAAATGTTATGATTTGTTAGGAGGGGGGTGCTACTGGGATTTTTTTGTTTGTTTGTTTCTTTGGTTTTTTTTTTAGGTTTTATCAGAAAGGCTGAAACAACGGTACACTCAAGAAAAAAGAGATCTGTTATTACAATGATTTTTTAAGAGAAGTAAATTCAACAAAATAATGAAATCTGATTTTCAGGACAATTCATTGATAGCTTATGATAAATAACTGCTTTCTAGCTGTTTTTGACTTATTTATGACTAAATAAGTACCGTGAAATACATTCCATGGTTCCAGTTTCCACTTCATCCTTGAGTAAATTTATGAGTAATTGCATTAGGATTTGATCCTAATGGAATAAAACAATATGTTCATTAAGTGTGCTCTTTGTACAGGTTGATATGCCTTTCTTGTAGATTATTTTACTCAGTCTTATTGTAATCTTGATTTTTTTATTTTTTTTAAATAATGTCTTTGTTTAGGAAATTATTGAAGAAGGAGAGAGTTCTAGAGCTAAAGAAGTGTTAAATGATGAACGATACAAGTCATTTAAGGTAAATCTTTTAAAGTTTATTGCTGTTGTTTAAAATTTCCCTCAAATTTCCCTCCCATTAGTAGAGCTTAGACATAAACATCAATTTTGTTACAAAGGAATATATAATATCAAGTATAAAGAAAGATGTTGAATAAAGATAATGGGAAAGAGAGAAACTGAGAGAGTAAGGAATAATAGTGAAATCAGTTACCTTTCTAGTTAACGTGATGCATACACAGTTGCTCTTAAGCTTGAACTAAACAATCTCTTTGCTTGGAAACTAACACAATACATACACTTTGCTGTAAGCTTAACCCAATGTTTGGTTTATTTTTCCTTAATTGATTAACATTATAACATGGCACCATCTCATTTGGGCATTAAGAAAATACTAGGTGAAGATGACTCAGGTCTATTTTAATTCTCTTTTGCGTGAGGCAAGATGAAGAGGACTGGAGATATTTCTTTGTTAGGAAGATTGTAGGTTCAGAGTCATGATCATATCTCATACTTACATGTAATTTAAACCAAATAAATACTGCAGTTCCCATTTCTTATATGGTCAGTGAATTCTTCTCTGCAAAAATATATAATGGAATTGTTTTTCCCCAATTTCATCTGTAGTTTTGATCTCTAAAAAGTATCTTGTTTGTGTCTTCAGAAAAAATTAAAATAAAGAGTAAACCAAATAGAACTGATTAATTCTCCCCTTCATTACTCACTTTCACTTCAGCTATTGAAAGGCTCTTCCATACTCTCTGACTTGTAATACAGGTATGAGAGGATGTACAATGACTGTTGTTGATGCCATCTGTAGCAATAGTCAGAAAAGAGGTGCAGATTCACATGTATAGCAGGATTCAGGAACCAAACTTTCTTATTAATAGTAATATATATCTAGGAGCATCCATTAAGTCTTACGTTTCAGGATTTAAGAAGATTTCTTGGAGATTAGAATAAAAATCTGTCAGGGGAAATGTTATCTCAAATATGCTTTACGCTTTGTTTAACATTTCAAATTACAACAAACTTTTGTGGTTCTCGTGTTAGCTCAGCCACAGTCTCAACATTTCGGCTAAACTGGCTGTAGCTACTTTTTCCAAACAATTTCCATGTGTTTCTAAGAAAACTAAGAAGAATACCATCATATTAGTGAATTCCTAAATTTTACTGTTTAGCATGGTTCTAGTAACTGCTGCAAATCACTCATGACTTAAAAGATCACCACTGGTCCCAGGACCACAGTTCTCATATGAGTGAAGTAAGTTGCACAGTAGGGTATGACATGATCAGATTTGCCTCCTTGCAGAAGTGGGTGCTGTAGAGACCGAGTTTATATTATTCAATTTCACCAGCTGAAAAAGAGCAATACTTGTATACACAGTTGAAGAAATGGGCTGCCTGATACTAACACTGCACTCTGGGTAGTGTCTCTAAATTAACATCTATAAATATACTGAATAATGGTGGATTTTCAAATGGAAAGAAAGAAATTATGGGCTTTTTTTTTTTTTGACACACATACACACAAAAATATTTGGACAGTGGCATACAATCCATTTTCTTTAATTCTTTATCCCAATATTAATTACCTCTCTTGGAATCATTCTAAACCCAGTAATAGACCCTTTTGAAAATCTATTAGCACTAGCAAAAACATTAAAAGATAACTATCTAAGTATTTAAAAAATCACATTCTTTCATAAACACCCATGTTTCAGACAAAGAATAGGTAATTTCATCCATTATGTACAAAATGTGGGATAATTGCTATTTAATATTATAATTTTTTTTTCCTTTCTCTTAATTATTTCCAAGGAATTAATCTCATTAGAAAAACACAAAATAAAGCTACTATGGTTGGAATCCAGAGATTGCAGGTTCAATGGAAAGCAGCAGTTGTGTCTTACACAGCTACTCATTGAATTCTATAAAAGTACAAAGACACTATCGACAGCTTTAGTATTGACAAACTGAATATAAAGAGTGTTCTTTTGGGAAAGCATTAAAACTTTCCCTCTTGCTTTCATATCACTGTTCATCTGAGATATTGATCCCCTGCATAATGCTTACAACGGTGACATTTTTGCTTTATGCCCTTTCTTGGGGAATAAGTTAGTGTACAAAATTAGTTTGGAATAAATGGAATATAACCATCCTCAAACTTTAGAAACTTGTACATTTGGGCTTTTTTTTTTTTAATTTTTATTTTTTCCTTTTGAGCAAAATAGTGAAATCTGTACTCCAAGTAAGACATACAGGTATTTAGCTTGGTTCACATGAGGACTTCAAAATTGTAAGACTATATGCATAATAAGCAAGCAAACAGAAGTTGCAATTTCTACTTGAAATTGAATTCCAAGTTGAAAACCAGTATTGAGTGTGACCTCCAAGCATGTATTTTATAGAATGCAGTATAAAAATAGATTAGTTATCTTTACATACTTAGTATCTGCTTCCATGCACCATTTCAAGACCCACAGGATTCCCACTGACCTCATCTCTTGGTAGTGCAGCAACACCAACATCATGTGTACAACTACAGAGCTGGTAGAGTGTATAATACAAAATCGTAACATCAGTCAAATTAGGAAGATAGTCTTGAGACATCACTTATTCTACAAAGTCTGTGTAAGGGAATCTAGCTACTTAGCATTCGTTTTTGTATTTTTACTAAGAAATGCAGTAAAAAATAAGACTACTATCCTTACCTTAAACCTAAGTTGAAAGTGCATATTTAGATAAATCACACAAATATTCTGGAGCCACTACCGTGTAATTGTTTAAATTTCACTTTAATGTGGACCACCCATGCATAAAACCAATGTGTTCAACATAATTTTTTTAAAGAAGGGAAGCTGAATCTGTATATTTGTGTTACATTATTATCTTCAATGTAGGACAAACTCTGCCCAGATTTTTCCCTGTGAAACCTTGCTGTTACCTACTTATTGTTAATTCACTGCTCCTTCAGAAAAGAGCACTGAAATGTGTGTTCTTCTACTGGCCTTTAGCAGTTTACTTCAGTCTTTGGAGTGGGAGTGAAGACATCTGAGAAATGGTACAGAATGGGGTTACGAACTCTGGAAGAGGTAAAAGCTGTCAAGACCCTTAAGCTGTCAAAAATGCAGAAAGCAGGTAAAGTGAAAGTTTCATAAAAACTTCTATCTAAGAATTTGATAGCAGATCAGAGAAGGTGGAAAGTTCACCCATTTTCTTGCTGTGGTGTCTTGAGAATATTAAGTCATCAGGTTTAAATAATACTTGGATTAACAGAGCTCCTAATTAAAAATGGTATAATTCAAAATATATGATTTTTTTTAATTGCTTGCATGGATATCCAATGATATCTGCTATTATATGCAAAATTATTAAAGGGTCATTATTGCACAAGTCATGAAGAATTTACATTGGGAAACCAGAACTACTTTTCAGTGGAGACCTGTCTCCTCTGAGGCAGTGATAAACCAAGTTTTTTAATAAAGTACTTGTAAAATTACTTCCATAATCCCAGCACATATTAACTTTAAACTGTTAAGCAAGGTCAAATGGATAATGTTCCTTCCCCATAGATTTTTTTTTTTTGTGTAGTTTCCCTAAATAAAGGAATTGATTTAAACAAAGTAATCAGTTACATTAAGGAAAGGAGACTATATAAAATTCCACTGAAATCATGTGGGTTTTTTTTTTTTGTAATAAACCCGTATGTTTTACATCACATCAGAATCCCTTGGATCAGCTTGCCCCCATCTATGCTCCTTTGTCCTTTTTGATTTTATATATAATATCCAAATGTGAAACAAGCTGCAGGACTGGGCAGTTTTGATCCAAGCTCTGTGAACAGACATAAAGATAGCTGGACTATTTCACATATCTCTGGGCCTTATTATTTTGAGGAGACCCACCTTTTAAAGCAGTACATCAAAAATTGCCATTGATGGGAAGTGACAGGGAAGGCAGAGTAATTTATAAATATTCAGGTTTTCAGCAAGTGGAGCAATTATCCTGATTGCTATGTTATAAATTGTTACTGCTGTCACAATTTTAAACAAATTATAATGTCCTAAAAATTATATAGAAAGACAAAGATGAGGGAAGGAAGAAGCTGAAGCTGTCCCTTACCTGTGATCCCCCACATCCAAGGCAGGAGGCTGACTCCAGGAATGGTGGAGGGAAGGAAGACACTTCTAAAAAGGCTGGATCATAGTATATTTCTTTCCACAACATGTCCCAAAACAAACCTGTAGTTTCAGGTTCCAAAACTGAAACCTATAAGTTCAGGTTCAAGATTGAGCATTTCTTAATTCTTGCATTAGATAGGGTTCCTTCACCATTGTACAAGTTGTGTGGTTCAGATGCTTGGTAGAAGTTGGCTATTGCACACAAGGCTTACCTAATACTGTATAGATGTTGATAATTCCACAGAGTGATTGTACCTTTTTTGCTTTGATTTCCAGGGTTTTTCTACTATGAGGACCTTGTTAGCTGTGTATCTAAGGCAGAAGCAGATGCAGTAAGCTTGATTGTCAGGAACACTGTGTGTACATTTCTACCAGATGCTTTAGTCACTGTAACTGGTGGTTTCAGGAGGTGAGTGAAAACAAGTAAGGGCATTTGGCTGTTTTATTCAGGTACACAGAAAATAATGTTTCTGTCTTGGAAAAATCAAAGCAGCTTAGTGGGAAAGGATAAAGAGTTTGTTTTCAATGGCTGGTTTTTGTGTTTTGTTTTTTGGTTGGTTGGAGTTTTTTCATTGTTTGTTTGTTTGTTGTTGTTGTTGTGATTTTTTTTTTGTTTTTTTGTTTTGTGTTGTTCTCCCCCCCCCCCGAGGCAGGAGAGCAATCCTATGACATTCCTACGTTCCTGTGTTTTATTACTATAGAGGGTTAGTTTGTCACAACAAAATGCGTCTAAGAATAACTTGTTGGGAAAATGATGTTTAGATCACGTATTTTACTTGAACATTTTTTTTCTCTTTTAGTGTACCTGAATTCCTAAGGCTGAGAATATTGTCAGCCCATGCTTGAAAGAAAGATACAGTAGCTTTAAGGTGTTGTTGTTGTTTCTTTAAGAGAACTTAGTCACATGAGAGTGAAATGTGCAGAGTTTGTAGTGTTAGAAATATACTTTGCAGTAAACACTGACTAAACTGAGTAAAAAGTGCTGACTAAATTGAACATGCACTAATCTTTGTGTAGATTGGGTGATCTCACAATTTCTTTCCTTGATGATTTTTGTTCCTAAAACCAAATCTGAAACTGTTGCTCAGGGCATACACAACTAATTTTTTCAGCACTTGATTGAGAGCCTTCCTAAAGCCACACAGCAAAGTAATGAGACTCGGAATAGACTTCAGGAGTATTGGGTTCCTTGCTCTGTACTTAGTCTCCTGTTATGTCACTACTTGTAGTACATGTCATGCTCATAAGCCAAAAATAACTTTAGCAAACACCTTAAATCTCTTGCTACTTAATTTGTCTGTAGCATTTTTATGAAAGCAACAGACAGAAGAATGTTAATGGTTATCGTGTGACACTACTGTAAGCCTAGATAGGCCTGCATATCCCTCCAGTGAGAGATATACATAATAGAATTCATAATTGCTATATACATGCACAGTGATTGTGATGAATATGTTTTATCAGCTTTGTACCACCTAATGATATTTATAATTATTCCTCATATGTCCCATATTTATTGTAAGAATGCTTGCAACCACCAGCTACTTAGTTTCTACAGACTAGTGTGGTCAATTAGAGGCATTAGGCTCAAGTATGAACCCTGACAAGGGATGGAATTTTATATTCAAAACCTCGAGTGTCATCATTCTGACAGTCCTTGTTTAAGAGGCATGTAATGGCAATCTTTTCCCATGGATGCAAATCATTTGGGGAACTTGTGATGTTAGTAACTTAAATATACCTGATTAACACCTGTCTGAATTAGGCAGAGTTGCAGGACAGAACTGTTAGCATGCTGAAAATTCCCAGTTTCTTCTGAGATGATGTATTTGAGCTTTGTCAGCAGCATAGTTTGCAAAGTTTGAATCTCACACATCAAGTTTAAGGCTATTGTCTTATTATTTCAGGGAGATATGAAATTTAGCCATTCTCTTTTTTAATTAAGAATAAGCTTTTGTATCTCTAACTGGGTGTGTCAAACCAGAAGAGAAATTAAAGTATCTAATGATGCCTTCAGTGAGTAATCTTGTATATTAATTACATGCCTTTAAATAGAGAATATATTATCAAGCTAAGTTTAAAGTGTCAGTCCTAAATGATATTTTACCAGCCCATGGAAAACAAATGCTGCAGTGTAGGATTTGTAGAAAGCTTGATTAGATGGATTGAAGTACATTTATTAGGCACCTCTATTTTAGTTACTAACCTGCAATAGAGTTGACTGCATCTGTTCTTTTTTGCCTGTCTTGTATAGTGGCAGTATACACTAAGCATGAAGTATGTGTAAGTTCACACTTTTCAATTAACAAATTATTATTTGTTTCTTTCATCATTATGTAAATATTTTAATAAAAGAAGTAGGCAAATTTTATTAATCAAACAACATGACTTCATTCTCTCATACTTGTACACTACTAACATAAGAGAAAAAATAGTTCATGATTGCTCTGAATTATATATTCATTCCCCAGGACCCAGATTTGTCTTGTTCTGTATGTTTGTTTCATAACTCAGAAAAAATAAGCAGTTGATTGTGTTCGTCCTGATTTGACTGGAGATTTGAAAGTCATGAGACTCATAAACTTTACTTACTGTGCAGGACAACTGGATGAATTACAAGGAAGGAAATTTGCGACCTACAGTCATGGAGATTCACTAGGGTAGAGATGAACTATAGGAAAGTTACATGCTTTTCTCGAAACTTACCAAACACACACATGGCTGGATATATTTAATGAGTTACTAGACCTTTTCCATTAGATTCCTGGAATTTAATGAAATCAGATATTTTGGTATTTCTTTTAATCAAAATTAGGAAGCATAATATAAAATCCAAGTAAGTAATAGCTATTTTTGAAACCCTAGCAAACTTGTTCATGGGCTTTGGTTTGATTAAGCTTTCACCTTTAGTCTTCTGTGTTGCTTCTTGTACTTGTCTTAATGCTAGTGGGAGACTACTGTTTGTGTATTTCTAAGTCAGAATGGTGGAAGATTCAAGGGGAAGAAAAAAAAGGCCACAAACAGAAAGTGAAAATCAAATTATTACTTTGCATTTATGTGGTTGAATAAAAATACCAGACCTACAATTTGTTAGAGTAAGGAATGAAAATTAGGAAAGCTGACGAAATTTGTTTGAGGACATACCAATCAAAGGACTTACTGTTGTATGAACTTTGTATTGAGGACATACCTTTTTCTCTGACCAGTTACATACAGTTTATTTCCTCTTTTGCTCTAACATTCTGTAGTTTCATCTTAGGGCCCAAATTCTTTCTTTTGCCGCTTGTCAAGGGTCATATTATTGAAGCAGACTTCAACATCTACTACTTCCTTGAGGCCTTTTCTTTTCGAGTCTTTCATCTTTCTGCTTGTCTTCACAAAACAGCAACTCATAAAACATCTTTAATCAAAAGTCCTTTTCTTCTGTTTTTGGTTGGAAGTTTCAGTAATATTACATTTGGTTGAAAGCAACTTTCAATTCAGCTCTCTGAATCAGTTAAGGAATATAAAGACAAAAGTAATTGAAATAAAGTGTTGTGATGGCAACCCTTCAGTATTTCCTTAATTTGAAATCTTCCAGGATCAGAAATGAATGAATTAATGGAATCTGGATGAGTTTATTCTTTGTTACACCCCTACAGAAACACTTAGCTTTCTGCTCATAAAACATACTCCTTGAGTTTTACTTGGTATAGTTTGATATGTGAGGCTGGGAGAATCATTTTATTTTTAAAAAATGTTTTTCTGACACTGATCTGGGTCATTTTGAGTCAGAAATTACAACACTGAAATGTATGGAAATACAAAAATAAAACAACTGTAGTTATGGAATAAATCATACCCATATGCTGTGGAATGCATTTTGTTGGTCTATCCAGCGAGGCCTATCAGCTCGACTGCATGGAAGGAATTATTGAGGATGCTGATAACGCAATATAAAGCATATCACACACAGTGTTATCAGACTGAATTTGCCATGCAGTCTGTTTGAGTCAGGAATTGGCATGGCATTATTTTTCAGTGCTTAGCCTCTCTTATTTTGAATTGCTGAGATTTTAGGCTGCTTTCTTCTTAAAGTTAGTGAGACAAATTCTGAGGTTCAGAGTAACAACTAGTATTGAAAGTTACAAAAGCCACTGAGGGTGAAGTTTCCCATCCAATGCTGAGATACAGAGAACCTGAAATGAGGAGAAAAGCCCCTTTAGTTTAGCATGCAACATCCCTGATTATTACTGTATCTGCCCCAACTATGTCCAAGGCAGGAGTGTAGTTTAGGCTGATGTGTGTTATCACTTTTAAAATGAGGACCTGATAATTTCTTTTTCTTTTTTTTTTAATGATTATTATAAATGTAATTTCATTCTATGAAGAAAATTGTTTTTCAATAGTGATAGTGTTATCTCATCTTGCATATATTACTGCATTTTACAGAAAATTTGATGCCTATTAGCAATGTGTTAGTGCTACTATTAATAATATCAGCATTTCTACAGGATTCTTATAATGACAAATAGAAAACATCGCATTAGGTTTCATGGCAGGGAGTTTTCTCCCTTTTTCCTGTAGCTCCTTGTTAGGATGTGGCTTCATAGTGACTTCAAGAAAAGGTTGTCATGGGCTGATTCGCTACCACAACATCCTGCAAGAGTCTGTGTTTCTGCTAATTTGATTTAGCTGCTGACTTTCGGTTTTGCACAAGGGTTGATCTAGGGTGAGAGCTTCTTAAGAGCATTGTATATTGGGCAGATGAAGCATTATATAGTAGATGTACTTTATGGCTTCAATCTCTTTACTGGTTATTCATATCCTACCACATATATCCACAAAACACCATTGACTGAAGGATCTGGAACAAGAATTAAATACAATAATAAGAATAAATCATTATGTTAACTTCATTTCCAGTATGGCTTTCTGTCAGCCTTTCTGTATGCTTTGTTCATATGATTCACAAATGATTTACAAATTAAGTTTCAGTTTTCTTGTGTTCTGTGTAGCACACACAAATAGTGGTTAGGTCTGCAACAGCAGGATTGTATTGCAATGATATGAGCACAGTTACTATGTCATTTATAGGCACTTATTTTTTTAAAATTACCTAGGCATCCTATTGGCATTACAGTTTCAATTCTGACTTACACACACTTTTGTTAGCTTCTCCCTTTTTGGCATAAGAGAGAATGAAAAGGAGACACTTTGTTTTAGATAAGTATTCATACAGGAGTTCTTAAGAAGGTGTCCAAGTGTCTTGGGTGATGTATCAAGCAGAATAACTAGAACCTATCCTATTCTTTGTAGAAGGCTAAGTCCTTTATCCTGCATCAGTATTCAGGGAAGTTTTGCCTCAGACTCTCTTATTTTATTGAATTCACTTCTATCATGAGCCTAATTGTAGATCACTGTCTTCTT